GGGATGGGTGGGGGGGAGGGGAAGGAAAGGTGGTACTGGACTTCTGGCAGAAGGAGAATTCCAGAGCAGCAGCAAAGCAGCTGATGGTGGAGGGGCCCTGGCTGGCTAAATCTAGGAGGAGCAAGGTGGTATTCTCCATGCAGAATATCCCAGGGCTGAGCCACACAGCATCACCATCTTCCAAGACATGACCAGCAGGAGTGGGGATCTTGATGACCACGGCCAATGATACAGCATTTGCTATAAGCGCATGGTACTACCTCACTCTAGACACCCTGTATGTCAGACTAGCTCACCACACATGTACACATATACCCCCCACTCCACGCACACACACATGGCCCAGCAGTAGCCTGGGAAACAGCTTCTCCATACATTGACCCAGGAAGCTCTCTCACCCTTTACTGACCTGCAGTAGGAAAGGCTTGTTGCTGGGTTGGCCCAATCTTCCCTCCTCCTTTCATGCGTCCAGTTAGATTCCCTCCGCTCTCCATATTCTACAATGAGAAAATTAGTATGAACCAGCTCATACCAGCATGGATGACAGGGCTGACTGCTGGCCTGAGTTGACAGACGGACAGACGGACAGATGGACCCATGGGGATCACAACCCAACTTGTGCTGACCTGAATCCTGGGGAAGGAACGTGCCGACAGGATGACAGACTGACAAGACAGAGAGAAGGAAAGACAGCTGTGGACAGACAGACAGACGGAAGGAGACAGCGAGCGACTCACTGGTGTTCTGGGCCCTTGGTGGAGCACTGGTTTGAACAGATCATCCACGAAGTGGTCCAAGGCTTTGGGGGATCTGAAGTCACTTCTGCCTGTGGGCAGAGATGTCCAGCTATCAGCTGGGAGAGAGGTGTCCCTCCCCATGCCCAGTCTTGGTTCCAGGCTGGATGGACTGACCTGGTCTGGTTCAGGATTCAAGCCCTCCCCACCCCTCTCCCTCTCAAACATCACTGGCTTTGTCCATCTGTGTGAGGCCTGCTCCTGTCCAACTCCCCCAGGTGCCAGCCTCAGGCCAGGGAAGGGGCTCACCTGAGTAGGGGCTTTCTGAGCCATTAGAGTCAGGAGACAGGGAGGGCGGAGGGAAAGAGGGAGCCTGGATCCCTGGCGCAGGGGGAATCCTGTCAAAAAGAAAAGCCATTGAGATGAGAAAAGCAAAGTGCTGAGGAACCAGCTGAGGACTCCAGAAGCAGCCAGTGGCACTTACATATCCAGAAAGGAGCTCTGATAAAAGCTCCTGTCCCCCTCAGGCATGATGGGATAATCAGATGAGGACAGAGAGGGCCAGCCAGTCCCCTCCATCTCTCCAATGAGATCCAGCACGAAGTCACAGCCAAGCAGGTCCTGCCAAGTGTCTCCTTTGAATATGGACACGGACCATCCTCGAGGGACCTTGTCCAAGCCTCTGACAATGGGGGAGACAGGAGAAGAGAGGAAGGCACAGTTTGGAGAGAATGTGTTGAATTCTCTTCTCCCAGCTTCTGCCTCTCCTGCTCCACACAAGTTATTCTTCTCCTCACAGCTTTCAAACAACCCCATCCCCATCGGGCCTGGAACCTCCCCTAACACATATGAATGTATCTCACTCCTCACCATCTATCCTCTCCAGCTGTACAAGGCAGGGAATGATCATCATTCCCAGAGAAAGTCTAGGGCTGAGGTCTCATTGCCACACAACTAAGGATCAGTTCTTCTCCGTCACTTCTATGGTCTGAGCTAAGACAGAGGTTGGGAGACATCCCTACCAGCTCCTGCTCCTCTCTTGAGATCCCTGGACTGGGCTTTGCCATTGTGGGGCTCATCAGCCGCACTGTGCTGCCTCAATCCTTTGATTTCACTCCCTCCCTGACCAGTGGCTCCATCTGCATCTCTGGCTCAACTGGGACTGCTGACCAGCTGGTCAGAGGAGGCTCCAGGAACCTTGTGCCCCCAAACTGGAGAGAGGGAAGAGGTTCTGTTGGGACCTGTGGCTAGCCATGAAGTGGCCTGTAGCCCAGGGCAATCTTAACCCAAAAAGCAATAGTGCATGCTCCCACAAACACAACCAACATCTTCCCCACCTTGGGCCATACCTTGTGCTCAGAATCCAGCCTGCATATTGTTCCCCTGTTGTCCAGGACTCCACCTCAGCAGAGAACTTTTCCTCTAGGCCAGAACAGAGAGTGTCAGTGCACAGCCTTCCAGAAAGCAAGTAACAGGATCTTGTTAACAACAGCAAAGAAAGAGCCACACTGGAAGATCTCATGCACAGACTCCCAAAGAGACTCAGAATGCAGCTGGAGCTGCCTATCCAGGGTCAGGGGCCCATCTACACTAATGCATGGAGATCGGTCTGTAATTACTGGCCACTTGCAAGCCCCAGAGCATCTCAGGTCCCACATCTAGGGAGTCTAGTCAGCAACTAGGTGCCTGTTAGCCAAGGTCTGCTGCAGAGGTACTGAGTATCCCACAGCATCCAACCTCTGTCCCTCTAATAGGTTAAAGCAAGACTCTAGATTTCAACTGTTTCCACCTTTGGGGGATTTGGTGAAATTTAAGCTCCAACTCAGTTCTCTAGGTGCAGCTGTCATTTCAAATGCTCCCTGCCTTTTTGGCTTGTACCAGCCAATGGCGCAGGCCTTGTGAGTACTTCAAACAAGCCAAGGAAATGATTTCCAGAGCCTAATCCCAAATTCCAGCAGGGGCAGAGGCTCTGAAGGGTAACAAGGTGGGGAAGGCAGGGGCAACCGTTACCATTGTAGGTGAAGACATCCAGCACCATCTTCCCTTTCCTTCGGTTGGCAGTCCACTCCAGTTGGGTTGGGGGGTGTGCACGGGACACCTCAGGGACCATCTCCGTCTGCTGCATTGCTGTCAGGATCTTGCACTGGCAGATGGCATTGTAGCCTTCCAGCCCATGGTCTGAAACAAACCTGCAAACCAGGCAGCTGCCTTTAATACACAGCTCTGCTCGGCACACTCCCACATCAGAGAACAGTCTCCCCTCTCCTTACTTCAGCAAGGGTTTCTCCAGTGCTGGCAGAGGGGTAAAGGCACTCAGGAGAGCAGCCATCAGGACCCAGCCTCGCTGGCACTGCTCCCCATCTGGGTTCTTCCACATCTGGGTGGCCACCTGGCTCAGGATCTCGTTGCGCAGGACAGGAGCTCTCAACCCTCGGCTGGTGATGTAGTTACCCAGAAGCACCTCTTGCCAGTCCTGGAGGTTCTGGTCCGCAAGGAACCGCAAAATCTGCCAGATACCCAATGGGAAAAGAGGAGCTCGAACTGCCACATTCAGACCCAACTGCAAAGCTCTGGGATCATCAGAACAGAAGGCCCTGGGCGGCTGCACCAAAAACTTAGATCTGGATTCAGGTTCAGGTTACCAGCACCTTCACAATTTAGGAGAATTTGGGTGGCAGGGCACTGACCGAGAGACCTAAAGGGGGCTGAAATCTGACCTACTGGGACCAGAACTGGGCAAGACAAACCAGTTGAACACTTGCAACTACATGGTAAAGAAAGGTGTATTCTTACCTTGGTTTGGCTAATCTGGAGGAAGCCAGTTAGGCTTTAACATGGGTTAGCAGCTCAATTTCAGGCCTATAGCAGAGCCTGGGCCTGAAACCCAAGAACTGGCCCAAACTGCTCTCACGCTCACTCGTAACCCAGATGAACCAAATGGAGCCAATCACACCCAGTTAGGATCATACCTCACTTTGCAGTGTAGACGCACCCATTGGCAGAGATGCAGACACAGGACTGGGTGTTGCATTGATGCACAGTTTGCTCTTATTTATATATTTTTAATGCCCCCTGCTCCCCACCAGGGCAAAGGTGTTGCTTATTTATTCCCAAACCAAAAGCTACATTAGAAAGAGTTCATAGTGAGAATCCATACCAGTAACTAGGGGTATATAGGCAAATGTAAGTATCCAACAGTCTAGTACTAGAGACCCAGGGAACTCCCAGCTAAAGACATAAATTCTGCAGATTGGGCATGACCAGCAAAATATATATATTTTTTTTTAAATATAAAGACTTGATCAAAGAATAAGCCACTGAGAGGGGAAGGCCCAAACCCTGCCAAAGGTGAAGTTAAGTAACAGGAGCCACAGGCTTGCTCTCAGGCTCCTTAAATGGCCATCAAGATCTGTATGTCTAACCTGAGTCATGCCGTGACTTATCGCTGGAGCCCTGACCTCTTTCGCCCCACCCTGCCCCACCAGTTTGTTACTCTTACTTGCTATGTTAGGCCTGGGGACTCAGTGCCAAAAAACACCAGAGGCACGTACAAAAGCAAAGCAAGGTTTGATGCAGAGCGTCCTAATCTGGGTTGTAGAGCGGTCCTCCCTCAGAACCAACAGAATATACCAGGAGGCTCTTTCATTTTCACCAACAGATTTATCTACACCCAAAGGCACAGCAGGGGTGTGTGGGGAACACCACCCCTAGTCTAGTGGTTAGAGCAGGGATGTGGATTTCTACTCTGATACTGTGACTTGGAGCGAGTTACTTCGGGCCTAAGCCCGCTCCCATTAAAGTAGGTAGCAAAACTCCCCTTGACTTCAGTAGTGCAGGGTCAAGACTCCTATGCTTTCTGGGCCTCATTTCCATAGATGGTTACTAGGAGTCCCTTCTGCCTTATCTGTGCTTTACAGAGCAGTGTGGTCCCAGAAGATTGAATACAATCCTTACTGAATCTTCCCCACATTTGGAGGGGCCAACATCTATCTTCATGCCTCACAACACCCTGCGACAGAGAAAGTAACATTGCATCCCACATCTTGTTGTTTACAGGCACCAAGGCATGGACCCTGTTTTCAGATTCTCCCTGCTCAAGGAATAAGCTCCTGATAACCCTCTCCCTTCTGGAGGTACAATTCATTTGCTCCTTTGAGTATATATTCACTGCAATTAACCAGGGAGGAGACCTATTTGTTACTCTTAACACAAATCCCATCCACACATAATCCCCTCTCATCCAAATGGGGTGGTGCTTTCTACCTAGTGAGGTGGCCTCTCTGGGGCTGTAACCCTTGAGCCAGTAACTTTCCCATTTTGCATGAGGATGCCCACAATTCCCCCATATGCCCAGACAATTTTCTCAAAGTTCAATGGGAGCAAATCAAGTGGCTCCACTTCGCATTGCACTTGGAACCATGGACCACATCCCCCTGAAGTCTTAACACCTCACACAGATGAGTGCAGCACCAGAGTGGATGCAGGAACCCAAGAGAGACTTTGCACTAAGGCTGCTCACACCTGAACCAGGCCACCCCATGATTCATACCCATGAACCAACTGCCTCTGCAGTGAATACACATCCTTAGTAGTTTAGGGTATGGACAAAGACATCATAGCAAATTAAAAGGTGGAGATTTGATGTGCATTGGCTGCTCCACAGTGTTAAATATCGGTGTGCCTGCATTTACCCTGTGGTACATGAAAGCTGCAGTAGCTTAGCCCTGTTTTGCTAAGGGGTAAATTACCAGGTTTAGCTTTCACTTATCATGGGATAAGTAGAGACATATAGATTATATCTGCTATGGAGACAATGCTTGGGTATTTCACTAATCCCCAGCAACAGAGGCAAGCAATTGCTTTCTAAGATTGCCCGATATTTTGCCCAGTAACAGATGTCTGCAAAGACATCTGTTCCTACCCACCCACCCACTCTCACCAGTTTGTTGATTTCCAGGGTGCGCTGCTTGTATTCAGGCTCCAGACGGGTTACAGGGTGCTGCAGGGGCTGACCAAGGGCAGGAAAGTTGAGCTCCTTGGACAGGGAGGAAATAAAAAAAGGACATATTGAGTTCATGCCTGGTATTACCAATGGCTGGAATATGCCTCCATGGTAGGGGCCGTATGAGAGTGCCTGGCCCAAAGCAGGACTCTCTATTCCCCCATCTGTAACAGGCAAGGAAGGCAAGAGCAGCAGGAAGAGCTTGATGCAGACTCAGGCTTTATTGGCTCCCTCTGTGGAGTCCTTGGTGGATCCCTTGGTGCCTACCTCAGAGCAGAACCACAGACAAAGCACAAAGGGTGTCCAGAGCCTCTAGGAGGGGAGCATCTGGAGCCCCTTTTGCTCTTGGTCATGTAACCACAGGAGGAGGGCAAGAAACAAGCCCAGGTGGGAAGGTGTCCTGACAAAGTGCAGAAAGGGAACACAGAGAAAAGGAAAATGTGGCTTTTGGCTACAGCAGCTTCCTACCTGGAAGTGAGACCTCGCGAAGGAGGAAAAGGGATAATCATTGATGTTCGGTGGGAGTAAGAGGTCGCTCCTGGCCTTGACCTCTGGAGGGGACACCTCAGTGATCTGGTTGACCTGGGCATACTGCTGACCTGCAAGAGAAAGATAAGGAAACTTGCGATAGTCACCAGTGTGCCCTGGCACACGCCCACATAGGAACAATACCATATGCCTCCACGGACCAACAGTCCCCCTCCTGCAGACACCTGTGCGATCCATCCTTCCCCAACCTGCCAACCAAACATGTCCATGCCATCCTTGCCAATCTCTGTTCAGGGATACCCACATGCTATATATACAGCCACCCCTTCAACCATGGGCATACACTTCCGTCACCCTGTCCCCACAACCCTAGAGATGCCTTGACACACATTTGCCATGTCCCTCCTTCACCAACAGAGACACTATCCTTCCTCCCTCTCCTTGTGCTCACAACCTGCTTTTCCATCCTGCCACTACTGATGTCTGAGGAGGGGGTGTTTCCCTTCTGCTTTGCGTAGCACGTACCCACAAAAGCAGAACAGAGGTGTCCCCAGTGTTCAATGCTGCCAGCTACGAGGATTCAAAGCTCGAGTCTGAAGCTTCCCTGAATCATGAAGCAATACTACAAACTGTGCCTGACAAAGCCCAGTGAATAGGGGAGGATCAAACTAGTAGGGATCATATTTTTGAGGCAAACCACTTGGTTTTTCTGTTCAACCTCACACTGCCTCTCCTCTCACTGGGCAGAGGGCAATCAGGTTGGGCCTCCTCAGAGAGTGAAGGCAAGGCTCATCTAGAAACAGGGCATCAGCAGAACAAAGAGGTGGGATTCAAGAGCAGCTTGTATCCAGAATTAGCTGCACGAGAGAAACTGCAAACCAGGACTCTATCCCTGAGACAGCCAGAGATAACATCCTAGGAAATGGTCCTGAAAGCTTCCTAGGTTTCAATTCTTTCACACAGCAAGCACACTAGGGGAACGTGGAACTGAGGCAGAAACTAATGGCAATGGCCCAACTGATAAACACACCAGAGGTTGTTATAACTCATAAGCAAGGTGTATGATAAGAGATTTATCAGGAGTGATAGGGAACACCCACTGTCTTGGCTGCAGAGATTTCCAGGGCAGTAGGGCTCCTTCCACTTTCTCTTCCAGCCTCTGATGCCCTCTTCTCCTTCCCTCCCTCCTCCTTGTCCTCCATGCTCCAAGCTAGAGCATCCAGCCCTGCCTCCTTTCTTCTCTACATTTAAATGCTCCCAAAAGCCATTTCTACAGGCTGCAATGTAGTTTTGTTCTCCTGAGCTCCAGGGGAAACACCTTTTCGGCAGGTGCTTGGGGAAACTAGCACCTATCTTCTCTTGTTAATACAAATCTCACCTCTATGATTAATCTGTGCTATGGTATCACCCTAAGGACTGACCAAGATAGGAGGTGAGGTTCAGCACCTTTCTTTGATCTGTGCGCTGTATAAGCATACTACCAGGGCTAGACCCCACCTTGAAGAGTTTATAGGCTGAATACATGAATCTTAAAAGGGCAAGAGGGGAAAACACAGTTGCACGTGGCTTGCCCAAGGTTACAAGGTAGAACTGGGTGAACAAAGATACTTCTTGGTTTGTAGTCAGATTTTGTTTCTAAAAAACTCAGAGCATTTCATTTGCCATCATTCTGAAAAAGGTTTTGAACTTTTTAAAACTAAAATGAAAGGACATTTTGAAATTCAATCATTTTGAGCAGAAAGACTGAAGCACTCAGTTGTCTAGCTTTAAAAAATAAATTCTTTTACTTTCAAAATTCTCTGAGAAGGGCTTTTCTGAAACACAAAGTTCAGAAAGACAACTTTTGTCCCCCTTCCAAATAGGGTGTGCGCGCACATGTGTGTGCATGCGCGCATGAGAGAGAGAATATTCACCCAGGTCCATCCCAGCACAGAACAAAAGCAGAGGTTGAAAGAGAACCCAAGAGTTGGTTTCCAGCCCAGAGCTTCTACCACTGGGTCAAACAGCTCCTAGCTGTCCTCCATCTTGGAGGCAAGCCATGTACATGTGCGTTCTGCTTCATGATGTTAACGGTTCAAGGTCAACAAATCACATAGGCTATGGGCAAGAATGATTCGCACACATGCACACAACGTCATGCAAGCAAGCCAGCAAGTTGGAAGGCAGCAAAATCAGAGGAGGGCCCTACTCACCTCTGGCCGAATGCAGGAGGGCAGCGAGCTCTGCAGGGATCTCCAGCAGTGACACATCCTGAGGGGAGGGAGAATTTTTTTAAAAGCCAAAAGAAAAATAAGAGTCAAAATGGAGTGATCTTGAGAATGGAAGAAAAATAAGGGTGGGGGGGTTTGTGGTGGCTAGGGACAAGCAGTGCTGGGGGGGGGGGCAGGGATGAACATACTGTACTTCTCCAATATGCCTGAGGTCTCTCATTTTGCACAGAAAAGTTCACAAGTACCAGACACGGGGCATTTTTTTCTGCTGGTTTTTCTACTAGTTATTTTACAGCATCTAAAAATGTCACAATACCAGTAAAAAAAATGGGCCCACTTCTGATCTCTGCTGTGCCTGTGCCAGTCTGGAGTAACCACATGAAGTCAGGGGAGTTACTCTAGATTTACACCAAGGAAACCGAAATCAGAATCTAGCCCCAAGGGTCTTTCACTGCTTTGCACCATGCACAGACATACTTATGCAAAGTGAAGATCTCCACAACAAGGACAAGGATGCAGCCAGGAAACAGTAAAATGCCCAGACTTGGGTCCCAAACTAACAAAACTTGTTACATGTTCATAAATGTACAGTGATAGGAACTCTTGCTTTCACTTCTAACAGAGCCATGCAAAAATTGGTGGATGACAAAGCCCCAACTCAACCTAATTTGCCTGGCTTCACATTTCACTGGTAACTGGAGCCTGGCCTACACCAGTGTTTGTACCAGTGCAATTACAGCACTTAGGTGGGGATGATTTTTACCAAAACAGACTATCAGTTATATCCCTGGTACTGGTACAGACCATGTAGAGTTACAGTAGCATATAAGTATCTTATAGCATGTTCCCTTCCTCCATAGACCGTAGCAGGTTTCTAGCGCTCGCAACACTTTAGGAGATTTACCATCTGTTTCATTGCCACCCACAGACTTTTCAGACAACCCAAGTTCCATTTTGAGCCAGGCTGGACTTAGCCCTGTAAGATCATGCCAAGCCCATGGTGCCAGTTCCAGCACAAGATCTATAAGTAACACAGAGGCTTCGAAGAAATCTGGTCACACCCCAAACACAAAGGGAAATAAGGGAGGTGGGAACGCACAGAAACTGCAACTGTGGGAGGAATTTGCATGGAGTGAAACCACTGCACTCTCCAGAGCTGTAGCTGTAGCTATTAGGGAAGAAAAATAAGTTCTAGGCTTGGGCCAGTCCTTGAGTTGAGGACTCAAACTTCCTTTTGCGGGGAATTTAGCACCAGGTCATACAACCCTCCCTACCCTTTGCCTGCTTTCCTGTAGCATTGGGTGAGCATTACGAAAATCCTGGGAGGTGCTGAGCACTTCAAGCTCTCTCCGACTGAAACCAAGTTGAAGGACTTGGGGATGATTCCAGGACAGTCAAATGCACTAAACTTGTCGGAGGAGTTGTTCAGAGTGAGCGAGTTCCCCTTTCTGCACAGCCTGTAATCTACAATGGATGGAAGCCACTTATTCAAGCACTATCCCAATATCCAACAAATGTGGCAGATCCTAGGCATTAACCCCTTCCTTTCTACAGGACACTGACTCCAGAGGAAGTCCCATGGGATATGTAGAAAGGCAAGCAGAGCCTTTGAGGGCATTTGGACATCCAGTTCCCAATCACTTCCAACAGGAATCCTAGTCTCTTAGGTGTGTTCCCAGAGTTCAGGTCTAGATCCTCAGGTGCCCAAAGCTGCTCCCCAGTGACATAGGCTCTCCCAAAGAATTGCAGCAGGTCAGCTTCCTAAATGCTCCCTTGCTACAACCAGAGGCAGGGACAGGCCTGCAGGACTCAGTCAGTGAAATGGGTACTGGCCCCTTTCTCTCTCTTGACAGCAACTGATGAAGTGAGCTCGAGTTCACAAAAGCCTGCACCCTCTGTAGATCTGTATTTAGTCTATAAGGTGCATCTCTACTCGCCTTCTGCCCAACTTCAGACTAACATGGTTAACTACCTCTTCCTTATCTCTGTCACACCACTTGTCGCCCTGGCAGGCTGGTTTGTTTAGTAAATAGTGCCAAGTGCTCCCTAGCAATACACAGGAGTTTGGGACTTACCATTCCTGAACGGGTGTCACTCTCACTCTCTTCCTCACGCCTCTGCTGCCAGGGGGAAATAAAAAAAAAAAAAAAAAAAA